GTAATATATGTAATATATGCAGATGTAAAGAAACTGATTTGATTTATGGGGAGCGCACGAGCGTAGTCCTTATTAATGCATTCGGACCCCCTTAAAATAAAAATAAAAATAAAAATCCTACAGAAAATTTAAATAACATAATTTATTATTTAAAAAACATGAAAGCTATTGCTCTCTATGGCTATAGCAAACGCAATTTGCTTATATGCTAATATAATGACTCGCACTCCGTATCCTTCAACTCTGATTCAATTCAACAAAATTGACTGCCAAGAGCTGCCAGCCGCTCGATTCTATTTCATTTGCCTAATCCGAATGGATGTTGTTCAATATATAAAAGACTCGGGAGAACATTATTTCGCCTGACAAGTGGTTCAGTCGAACCTGCTCGACTAACAGATGCCCTAGGCCCTATGAGGAGCTGATCCTCCAATCAATCTACGCTGGCATACAATATGCGCCCTGCCACGCCTCCTTCTGCCTGTTACATACAGCTCCACAAAACTATGATACCCTGATTTCGCACTTTCAATGGGTTCAAGGTTATAGAACTTGAGTAAAGTCTCGAAAAATAGTTGCACAGCCAAACAGGTCAGTGCTAATAGAGTTTGCCTAACGAAATAGCTCTAAACGCGTAGCAAATCTTAAATAAATAAATTATATATGGTTTATTTATAGTATATCGTATGTGTCTCTGTCAAATATTTGGGCAACAGAAACCGCATTTCACATTGCAAATCTATCTTTGATATGTGCATAAAATTTGTTTATTGAACAAAATGCATAGAAAGCAAATAGCAAACAAACATTTGGCATATGTAAATCGAGCGTTTTTCTTGTTGTTGCTTTGTGTTTTCGTTTTTGCTTACCAATTTTATTTTTTTATTTTTTGTGATTTAAACACTTTTTTGCAGCAGCGTAAAATCGCATGTCATATGATTATTTAGACATGAAATGGAAGGATATGTTTTTTAGAGTTGGCCAAAAAGCTGAAAATATAAAAAGAAAAACTCTTTAAATAAGCACAGCTATGTTTTGCAACTGTTGTCATAACAAGTTTTTCGTCACTTGTTTTTGTTTAGCATAATATATGTATCTTTTGTAGCGCTTCCTAGTAATCCCCATCAGATAGGATACAATTGCCATAAAATTCCTTTTTTGCCACTAATTCTCCAAGTATATACAAGCCGGATTTATCTAGTCCATCATAACGGTGTAGCGTCCTTCCAAGAACCTTTCAGATCTGACTGCTGTTGGCTCATAGAACATATCTTGTTTTTGGCCAACAAATTTATACAGGCTCTGGCTACAATTTTTGCAAGTCAAAATGGAAAACGAGCTAAAATATGTACAAGCTAAAGAGCTGTCAAAACTTAACTGAGCATATAACATGATAGAGCCTGGCGACTTATGTGAGACAAAGGGGCAGCAGGATAACGAAGCAGAACAAACGAAAATCGAAAATTTCTGATGCTGTTTTAATAAATATTATAAAATGCATATTTATTTATATTTTTATACAAGAATCCAGGATAAACGAAAATGGGAAATTCCTGATGTTTTTTTTTAAGCATATATGTATGTATGTATATATTTATATTATATGCATGCATATATACAAGGATCTAAAAACTTTTTGAGAAAAATTATAT